ATTACCATCGAGTGGATTTTGACTTATAACAACCCTACATAAGATTTCTGAGATTGTAAATCTCTATGGGAGCAGACAGCCTCATCTTTCTCCATGGAGTGGCTGGTGGGTTCCAGGCGTTGACGTTGGGGTTAGCAGTAAGATCTTGACAGGTTTACCTCAAATGGCACATGACTCAAAACAAACTCCGTGCATCCAGAGAGAGGTTTATTTTGGAAAGGAAAGGGCTCTGGATGATTTCTGAGCTCTAAGTGAACAGGAAGGGATATCAGGTAAAGAAAGACCAATTTCTAGGACAAGCAGAGAAGGAGAGTGTGAGGTATAAGATAGTGAGGAATAAATTGAGAGAGCCCCACACTGAGCTTTATGGTGGTGGGCAGAAGGGGCCACTGGAGTTGGACAAGCAGTCAGGGTGGCCCACATCTCTCTCTCTCTTTTTTTTTTTTAAATTATGAATCAAGTGAAGGTCTACCGAACAGATCATCAGTCCCACGTTCAACAAATCAGACCCTTCACTCCATTACAATGACTGCAATCCCCATCAGCTCATAGTATCTACCTCTATTCACTTTAACTCCTGCACTTCTCCGTGTCTTCTCTTCCACTACCGCTATCTCTCCTCTGCCAACCTCCCTCGTGTTTTATATTGCTTTCCCCATCACCCATGTTAACATGTGTCTACCCTCTTGTCTGTGAATAATTTATTTCTTCCCTCTCACCCCTAAGAACCATCATAGAATGTTTCTCAGCATAATGTCCTCCAGGTTCATCCCGATCCATTGTTAGTTGTCATTGTTGTGTAGTCTTCCATTATGTGGAGGTAGCATTTCTCTGCTGATGGGCATTTAGGCTGTCTCCATCTTTTTAATATTGTAATTACTGCTGAGGTGAACAAGGTGTGCAGATATCTATTCCTGCTCTGGCTCTTAGTTCTTGAGGATATATAAAAAGTAGAGGGATTGCGGGGACGTACAGAACTTTGATTTCCAATTTGTGAGAAAGTGCCATACCATTTTCCATATTGGTTGAACCATTTGACAGTCGCATCAGCAGTGTAAGAGGGTCCCGGTCTCTCCACACCCTGACAACATTTGTTGTTTTCTGTTTTTCTGAACTTTGTTATCAATGCTGGGGTGAGATGATGGCAAACAATCCTGAGCTTTACTTCATATGTTTGTTGGTCACCTTTAGTGAAGTGTCTGTTCAGGTCCTCTGTCCAGTTTTTAAACTGGATTATTTGTCTTCTTGTTGAGGTATTATAGTTTTCGAAAATTTTTCTATAAACTTAAGACTTCTTAGGTTATTTCATGGACAAATTTTTTTCCTAGTCTGGGGGTTCTCTTTTTACTCTTTTGGTGAAATCTTTTGATGCACATAAGTGTCTCAGTTTTCAGAGATCCCAGTCATTTAGTTTGTCTTCTGCTATTTGTATGTTTTCAGTTAGGCTTGATAGTATATTTATGCCATGTATCAGAGCTGCTGAGTTTGCCCGTATTTCTTCACTGATGGTCTTTAGAGTTTTAAGTTTTACATTTAGTTCTCTTATCCACGTCGAGTTTGTTTTTGTATATGGTGTGAAATATGGGTCTTATTTCCGCTTTTAAAACAGTATCAGGCTGTTGTGAGCACTGTGGCTGTCTAGTAATATTTGAAGAGACTATCTCTTCCCCATTTAATGAATTCACTATAATTATCCATAGGTCTAAATTGATTGCTGTCATTTTGCTGTGTGTTGTGTGTGTGGTGCTGCTCGTTTATTTGTTCCACATAATTTTCTCCACTGAGTTTTTTTTTTTTTCTGTGTGTGTGTGTTTTCTTTTTATTTTCTTTATTTCTGCTGTGTTATTAAAAACTTTTATGGTTTTCCTCTTTTATATTTTGTTGTGAATGTTGATTAGTTTTATTTGACTCCACCTTATATTTTGGATTCCTGGTGTGGCGCTGTGGACTAATGTGACAGACTGCAAAGTCGACTGAACTGCAAGGATGGTGGTTCAAGTTCACTACCTGCTCTTTGGAAACGCTATACAGGGTTGCTATGGGTCAGAACCGACTCAACGGTACTTAACAACAACAGCAACCCTATAATTTAGTAATATTTTCCTCACTTAAATAGCCTGTTTTATCTTGAACTCTACTTGACTTCCTTTTGTGGCCCTCATTCTTACTGGACCTGGATGAGAGAGTAAAACTCAGTCAATTTTAATGGTCTTTTCTGAAGGTTTTGCTCACAAAACGCAGCCCCACCAAATCCAGTTCCTGAGTACAACAGCAAATAGTAGACAATGAAACCTGTGAGAGCCAGAACCCGACAGGACTGCCTTGTTTTCCCAGTTCTGCCAAGTTTTCTGCCTTTGACAGCCTCAGCACGTTTCTATCACTCTCCGTTTGTGGAAAACATTCGAATCTCCCTTCCCTGATTGGTTTCCACCTTATACAGATTCCAGCTTTCACAAGTTTTACTATATCACAATCCTTTCAATGGTTCTGAAAGCTTCACTTTAAACAATTGTTGTTGTTGTTGTTAAGTGCCGTCGAGTCGGTTCCGACCCATAGCGACCCTGTACAGGGTTTCCGAGGGTGTAAATCTTTACGGGAGTAGAAAGCCTCATCTTTCTCCCGCGGAGCGGCTGGTAGTTTCGAACTGCTGACCTTAAGGTTCGCAGCCCGATTTGTAACCACTACGCTACCAGAGCTCCTTAGGAAAGCATAAAAAGGAAGAATGTTAAAAGTTGAGGTTCCTCTTAACATAAGTGGAATCTATTTTGCAGCATCCTTCGCAGGTGTAGGGCTGTAGAAACTCAAGACATTTGTGGTTTGGCATCTGTGGCGTCCTGTTATGCTTTTCTTCTTACTGTGGCCAGAGAATGCTGGTCCATTCTATAATGGTAGGTCCCTTTTGCCAGAAACTCACATAGTTGTGGGTGGAGTCAGCTGGGAAACTGGAGAGGGTTTTGAGAAGTTTGTGCAGGACAAAGACCACAGGGGATTCCAAGGGATGAAAAATAATACCTTAGGGGTTAGCAAATTTCCACTGTTTGTGGAGCCAAAGGTGCAGCTTTGAAAACATGGCAGGAAACTGACCATTACAGGAGAGAGAGAGTCTGAAAGCCAGATGGCCCCTTCCAAGTGTCTGAGGCTCCATTTCCCCCATTCAGCTTCACTGTGGCCCTGGGGATGGTGACAAGGGCTCCTCCGCTTACCGTGAGCTGCCTGGGACACAGAAGAGGCAAGAACCATGGTGGCAGCTAATGGTTCCTCATTAGAACTTGGAAGCTAGGGAAATACAGTTGTTTAGAGACTTAAATCAACACACGGTAAATCTTGGGCATTTCCAAAGCTACCGTCAAATTTGTTGTCAGCTGCTGTAGCAACAACTCCTGCTCCTGGCAAGCCTCTATATAGTGAGGAGAACCAGAACCACCCCACAGGGTTTTTAAGGGATAGATAGCCAGGTTTGTCTTCTGAGGCATGTCTGGGTGGGTTCAAAGCGCCAGCCTTTCAGGAAGCAGTCAAGTGCTTAGCGCTATTTGCACTGCCCAGACTCCTAAATGTTGCTTCTGTTGTTAAGTGCTGTGAAGTTGAGTCACTTACAACTCACAACAACCTATACAAGGGTTTCCGGGGCTATAAATCTTTATGGGAAAGATGAGGATGCCTCATCTCTCTTCAGCAAAGTGGCTGGTGGACTTGAACTCCTGACTTTGTGTGTGGTTCTAAGTCCAGTGCTATCCTATAGAGCCACCACACTCCCAGACACCTAAATGTTGTTGTTGTTGTTGTTAGGTGCCATTGAGTCAGTACCGACTCATAGTGACCCTATGCACAACAAAACGAAACACTGCCCGGACCTGGGCCAACCTCACAATCGTTGCTATGTCTGAGCCCACTGGTGATGCTACTGTGCCAGTCTGTATCACTGGGGGTCTTCCTCTTTTTCTCTGACCCTCCACTTTACCAAACATGATATCCTTCTCCAGGGACTGGTCCCTCCTAACAATATGTCTGAAGTATGAGAAACGAAGTCTGGTCACCTGAATTTGTTGTTGTTAAGTGACATCAAGTCGGTTCCAACTCATAGCAACCCTGTATAGTAGGGTTTCCAAGGAGTGACTGGGGAGCTTGAACCACCCACCTTGCGGTTCAAGCCAACTTTTCAGTCCAGCTCATTAACCCTCAGCGTCACATCAGCACCCCGGCCACCTAAATAAGATCTTAATTTTGAAGACATTACAAATGTCTTAGAAATCGATGAAAGGTATTCGCACAGCTTTCCTGTCCCCCACAAAATGTACATGTGTGCAACATACAACATTTATCTACAGTGTTGAGAGTTGTGGCATCATTAAAACACTCCTGGATCCCAGGTTAAGATTTAATAACAATAATTGAAAGAGGCAGGCTACGTGGCCCTAAGTCAAGGCAAAGTCAGACTGAATGTGTCATTTCTATAAGGAAAGAAAGTGTTAGTGAGAAGGGAGATTGCTCCACAGTTGTAAACATACCAGAAAGAGCCACTGAGGCATAAGGTGGCCTTTCCCTCCCCAGAACAGGGCAGAGTGGAAGGAATCTAGGCCTGGGGACCTTACTTTTCCTGCTCTCTGATATGGCTTGGCCTCTCTGAAGAAATAAAAAATCTCATCATTTCCAACAACTGTCTTCACTCTGACTCCAAATACACTAGATTCAGATGAAAATTTGGCCTCTTGTATAGACCTGCCTGCAGGGACAGAGTGAGTTGGCCTTGCCAATATGAACATTCCAATGTGCTTGGCAGTCACAGTCCTCATTGTAAACGAATCACTTGGCATTCTGTTTTATGCATCAGTCTCATGAGCTGGTGTGAGCTCACACTTGCGAGACAGGCCCACTGTCAATGTGCTGAACCATCAGATTCCTAAACCTAGAGGCTGAGGTCCAGACCACCAAACTGCCAGCCTGCCTCTCCTGCAAACAGTGGACTGGCCACATGCCCTCCCACTGACAACAGGCACACTTACCTTTTACAGGACATCGGATAGTCACGTTCGCTCGCAGGGCTGCCTCTATGACACCTCCAACTACGGCAGACAGGTGGCTGTGTTCCGGTTTGCTAATGTTTCTTTCAGAAGACAAGATGGCAGGTGCCTCTTAATTCAAAGAGAACAGGCGAGTATGTTATGTTGAGGCCTTTCCTCATTGGTGCATCATGTTGCATTTGGTTGATACGTGATGTCATCATGAAACAAAAAGTAACTGGTTGTATTTGGTAAACATCGCTGAGCTCTTTTTGAACAGGGGCACACCTGACTCCACAGCCCCTCCTATGGTACCCAACACAGGGACTTGCAAACGTACAGCCTAGAGATGTTCATGGGATGGATGGGTGGGTGGATAGAAGGATAGTACATTGATGGATGAAAGAAAAAGATATCCACAAAGGTTCATTGTAACAACCATGGATAAACTATGTGGATAATTTTAATATCCAAAATTGAAGATGAATTCTTTGATAATTTCAGAAGTATAAATTCAGGAGTTCTGAAGAAATGAAGAAGGCATAGGAAAGCAGAAATAATGTGTCTGCAATGCAGACTTGGCTATATCAAAGCAGGGCCGATATATGTCAGGGCTTAGGGTTACCCGACACCTTTTCTGGAAAGAGGGATCTGAGATATTGGGGACGCAGGTCTGGTGGAGAGGACAGGAAGTCCTAATCTAGTCTGTTGCTTCCTTGGGTGGAGAAACCTCCAGGAACCATCTCATACAGATGTTTACAAAAGACTTTGTTTAGTTGAAGTAGTTACCAAGTGACCACTCTGGTACACACCAGTGTAGCAAGATGAGAGGGACCTTGCTTTATATTGAGAACCATAAAGTCTAGTGGTGGAGAAAGGGAGGCAGGCAGATATGTTCAATATAAATGTGGTATCCCAAACACCCTTACAAAGTCTGATTGTAGGTGGAGTAGAGCCAGGCTCACGTGGTGATGGAAGGAGAAGCTTCGGCTCAGAGCTCATTCAAAGCTGTACCCACCTGAAGAAACAGGTGGGTAGGAGAACATGATTCTTGTCTAGCTTCTTCTAACAAGCTGCATGTATCTTTGGGCAAAATCTTCCAGTTTTGGGCTTCAGTTCTAATCCAACTAAAAAGAAAGGATTGAACTGGAAGATCTCTCAGGGATCTTTCAACTGCAGTTCTCTCATCCACTGTGTGGTACAATAAGACCCCTTTTCACTTACTCAAACAGAAAAGCCACTAACTATTTACAGAACACTAACTTCAGAGACTTACTTAAAAGATCATCTTACTTAAAATACCATCTATCTCTACTCTGCAGAAAATCTTGTGGGAAAAAGACGGCTCCAGTGCCCAATTTATGAGACTTTATGAGGTGATTATAAAGGAGATTGGAACTCACTGCAAGAGAGGTTTTCGGTTAGCATTTTATCAACTTGAAACAAAGACTTGCGTAAAACTTGCGTGGAACAGATAATGGTAAAAACCAGACCCCTCAGAAATAAGAAATCACATAAGGTCTTCTGTTTGCCTGAACTTTGAGAACTATGTACTTAGTTAGTAGATGAATTCATTAACTCACTCAGGAAGCACACTAAATGCTTTCTCTTTATCAGGTCTGAGACAGACAATTAGGATCTAATGTAGGAAAAGTGTTCATTGTTGTCCTCAAGGAATTCATAGTCTGCTGGGAGACACCATCAGGTTCCAGGGTGAGTGGGGTTGTGAGGAAAGGCGTTATTGACTGGGGAGTGGCCTGTGAGGGTCAGGGAAGCCTTCCAGAGAGGATGTGAACAGACCACTGCTCAACACTACTGCTCATTCCCAGGGGAGTATGTGAGCTCCTGGGGAGACAGGTCACATTTCTTAATCTGTCTGGTCAATGCTTACACCCTAAAAGTCTCAACCACAACCGAAAAGAGGGATGGCACAGGATGAGACAGTTTCAGTCCTTTGTACATGGGGTCACCATGAGTCCAGGCCAACGCAACAGCAGCTAACAACAACAACAAAGCATACTTATTACATGAAAGAACGTATGACTAATCAGAACTCCGGGAACTATATATTGTTAATCATCTATTCTAGAGAAGATAACTTAGGAACAGTCATGTTTGGGATGGGCCATTCTCCCCTGGAGGGTCTGGGGACAGTGGAAAGCTAGCCTCAGATATGAAAATCTCTGAGGCTGAGAGAGGATTTTAGTTCTTACTGCCTGTTTGCTGGCCCCTGACAACTTGGCACCAGCTCTACCAGAAATCATGCTTGTTCTGGGATGAGCTTATTGGATGGCTTCTTGAAAGCTTCAAGGGGGTTCCCATTCTTCCTAGGAATCCCAGAGATTTGGAATTGATGTTTTCTGGAGAGAAAACTTGTGCTCAGAGGCGGCAAGACCACAGGAGAGAGTGAATGGTCTAGGAGGACACAGCGCCGAAGGAAACCCGGTGAGAGGCTTAACGTCTTCTAACCATCCAGCTTCAAGAAGTACCTGCCTCCCATTTTATCCCAAACTGTCCACTTAATATAGAAATCCAATCCTCAAAATTCCCCAAAAGAGACTTTTAGTGCCTCCCCCTCAAGCCCATCAAAAGATAAGGAGCGAATTTCAGGACATAACATACCATGGTTGGACAACTCAAAATGTTTTAAAATTGCTTATATTGAAACTCATTTGTTCCTTTCTTTCAGTGACGCTATTCTATCCTCTGGAATCTAGACTAACAAATTTAATTAGTGGATTAATATATAATAAACACTCTAACATATGGTCACGGGATTCCATCAACCTTTGATATTTTGTCTATTAAAAATGTACTTTTCTTCCTTGAGCTACAAGGTCTCTCTTATAATACAATTTAGGCTAGGCAATATTTTTAGAATGTTATTTTACTAGATAACCGATATGTCAGAGCTACACGGGAGAAAGATGACACTTTCTGCTCCCGTAAAGATTTACAGCCTCGGAAACCCTGTACAGGGTCGCTATGAGTTGGAACCGACTCCACGGCACACCACCACCACCACCACCTTTAAAATGGCAAATTCACTGGTTCGGGCAAGACGGTGGAGCAAAAGCAAAAAAAAAAGTACCTGCCACAAAGCCCAACACTTGGTTGACTAGGTGTTGGATTCCAGCCTCTGATATTTGCCTCTACTTACCTTGGTCCATTTATGGCATAACCAATAAAAGACTCATTCTTGCTGAGTAAATGACAACTCATCGTGACCCTATAGAACAGAGTAGAACTACCCCACAAGGTTCCCAAGGCTGCAAATCTTTACGGAAACACCCTGTCACAACTTTCTTCTTTGAAGAGGCTGGAGGGTTTGAACCAACAACCTTTTGGTTAGCAGCTGAGCACTTAATCACTGCCCCACCAGGGCCACAAACCACATAGTAGTGAACTGAGGGAGGGTTCTCCATTTTCACTTGTAATCTCAGAACATGAATTTACCACAAGAAAGTATTGTCTACAGTTTTGCCACCTGAAAATGTTCCTTTAAAATACAAGTACAATTAGATATAAAATGACATGGTGTCCTAGTGTGGCGCTGCAGGAGAGTGTGCTGGACTGTAAGGTCAGTTTGAACTGTAAGGTCGGTGGTTCAAACCCACCAGTTGCTACTCGGAAACTCTATACAGGCTTGCTATGAGTCAGAACCATCTGGACAGCGCTTAACAACAACAACCTCCTGGGAAGATACACACTAATTTAAATGGACACCTTTCTGTGTTTTTGAGGATTGGCAGGTATGTTTTAGGGAGCTATACACCAGCCTTTGTTGTTGTTGTTGTTAGGTGTCATTGAGTTATTTCTGACTCATAGCAACCCCATGTGACAGAGTAGAACTGTCCCATCGGGCTTTCTTGGCTGTAATAGTTACGGAAACAGGACTTTCTCCCAGGGAGTTGCTGGGCGGGCTTGAACTGCCAACTTTGTGGTTAGCAGCGGAGTGTTTAACCATTGCCCCAGGAGGTCTCCTTATACCAACCTGTAAAGATACTTAGCCTCTTTCCTTGGCTGGCAGGACAAACATGAAAAGTCCGTAGTACGGACACTTCCAGTTAAATCCTGTATCATCAATTCCCAGTTCTTAAAAGCAAGCTCTAGAGCATTTGGTTTATAAGAGTGGTCCTCAACCCAGCAGCAATTGCAGGACCCCAGGACCATGTTACAAATGTAAACTCTTAATTCTACCCCAAACAGAATGAGTTGGAAACTCTAGGGGGTAGGCCTAGTAATCTGTGTCTTAACAAGACTTCCTAGTGAATTTGATACACACTCTTTGAGAACTGCTGTTCTACGAATTTATGTAAAACAAACAAAAAATAAAACCAAGCAAAAACAGGCATGTTACAACAGACATTACCTGCATACAACACAGAGGAACTTTCCACATCTGAACCCAGATGATTGGCTACCGAGCACCCATAAATCCCTTGTTCTTTCCTCGTAGGGTTCCGTATCTGTATTTTCCCCGTTCCATCCAAAACGATTCTGTAAAACAGTTAGAAACAAGAGGCATTCAGGTGACACATTCAACTGCTCTGGGGCCACAAGTCATAGAGGACATGGAAAAGTTGTAGACTTTGGGTTGGTAGCTGATCTTCTCAGGCATCCTGCCTACAGGTAGACAACTGTATATACCACGGGGATGGGAAGGTCTTGTCTCTTGCCTTGCCAGTTGCCATAGAGTCGATTCTGATGCATGGCATCCCCACGTGTGTCTGAGTAGAATCATGCTCCATAGGGATTTCAGTGGCTGATTTTTCAGAAGTGGATCGTCAGGTCTTTCTTCCAACATGTCCCTGGATAGACCTTGAGCAGCCAAGTGTGTTAACTGTTTGCATTACCCAGGGATTATCTCTTGCCTTCCTTAGACACACAGGAAGGTGAGAGCTGGATAGTGCTTTACAGGTGAAGACACTTTTCTATGGGACTCAATGCTGATCTACAGTATTTTTAAAAAGCACAAACTAGGAGACCTATTCATTTGCTGGATGTTAAACTCTGATTTGGAGTCCTGGTGTGGCGCTGTGGGATAATGCGCTGGACTGCAAGGTTGGTTTGAACTGCAAGGTTGGTGGTTCAACCTCACCAGCTGCTCCTTGACAGCCCTATACAGGGTCACCATGAATCGGAACTGATTCAATGGCACTTAACAACAATAACAAACTTATTTCTAACAAAATCCTTCCTAGCCAATTGCAAGTGTGCATTTTTCAATTAAGACTTTCACATTGGAAGGGAGTGGGCTTTGAGTATGTCTGTCTAATGGTGACTTATGGTCAGTCCCACACTATCACTGTGTGAAGAAGTCAATAAGCCACCAATGCTAAGGCTGAAGCTTATATTTGGATTTTGATCATGATAGTAAATATTGGGACTAAATTTACAGCATGATTTCCATATGGTTTCCCAATGACTGATATTCATAAAAAGCTGCATGTAAACACCACTTCAATATTCAGAGTTGGTAGTTTCCTAACAGATGAAATCATTATTCAAAGAAGTGGGGAAGAGTGCTTGTTGTATTTTTATTATTGCCATTATCTTAACTTCTTAGTGATTTGAAGTTGCTTCTAGGTCATCTGGATCAATGGTCCAGATATCCTTTCCCCCTGTCCCGTCCCACTTTGTAGCTCTTAGCTATACACAACAGTCTGATCTCTGACTGTTGTCTGTTTCTTCCTCAGCTGAGCAGAGTCACTTCATTTCCTGTCATCCCACATGGCTCACCCTGTGTTCCCACCATAATGAGCATTCCCTGATCTTTCATCACTTCAAACTTTTGCATCTGTTGTTCACTTTATTTGGGATACCCTTCCCCCTTTCTGTCAAACTCTGACTTACCCACTGAGTTTGCGTTCACATGTAATTTCCCCTGGTAAGTTTCCCCCAATGCTCCTAGAGTGCTGCTTCCTCAAGGCTCTCTCTGATCAGATTCATATTCGCATATTTATTTGATGAAATATCTCTGTCTTCCAACAAGAGTGTGATCTTTTCAAGGGCAGGAACTTTATCCCACTCACAACACTATATTTTTAGTACTTAGCACAGTGACATTTACATAGTAAGTTTTGAAGAACCTTTGATGAATAACTACATAGTTATTCATCAAAGATGAATATGAGGCTATTGAAAACACATCCATATGAGGCTATTGAAAACACAATGGCCTGGGTCAGGCGCACC